TGACCTGCACAGGCTTGTGCGGCGGCTCCCCTTCCCAGCGCGTGAAGGTGAGCACGGGGCCCTGGGCGGAGACACTCTCCCTTGGCCTTGCCTCCCGAGCACAGCAGCGCTTCTCTGGGGCAGCCTCCACCTCCTCAGGGGCTCCTCTCCCTGTCCCTGTGTCCGCAAAGCCCAGATACCTGTTTTTCTTCACTGATTGCATTTGTGCTGTCAGCTTGGTTGCCCAAGATAAGAATTGGCACGCTATTGTTTCATCAGTCATTAAAGCAGATTAAAACTCACTCAGCTTGGGGTTCCACGAGCTGAGGATGATCTGCACTGTCCACCAGAAAGACAATCCCACTAATTGCTGGAAGATCATTTTCCCAAACCCAACGTGCTTGCTCATGCCCACCCAGATCAAACGTTGCGAAAGTCGTTCCAGCCGTTGTGAGCTCTTCTGATGTCGAATGGAGTGTTGGAGCTTGTCGGCCCAGTCTGTGATCTTTGAGCGCGTGTAGCAGACTGGTTTTGTCCGCTCTGTCCAAACTCCAGAGTACAGGTTTGCTAGAGTCCTTGCAAGTCCCAGGGGTGGAGCGCTTTGCCCAAGCCTCTGTTGATCCACTTAAAGATGAAAGACATCAGTGCCTCCTGCGGCCCAAGGCGCTCCTGCTGCAGCTGCACCCTGCTGCAGCGACTCCAACCCAGCGGCACCCAGACCGCCCACTGCTTGCCGTGTAACGGAGTGGCTGTGGCATTCTGTTTTTTAAATAGTGTCAGGTTCCGGTTCATGGTTGAGGTATATGTTTTACCTGCCTGTGGATACTATTGGTGGTTTTAGAACGCTTTCGTCTCTGTTTTCTCGAAGGCCCCTCCTTCCCGCTTTGTGTTGGTCTCTGTCCATTCATGTTGGGAGCTTTCCTCAGTTCTTCTGCAAAGTAAGCCTTGGCCTTCTGCTTCTGTTTACGTGTTGCCCTGGAAGAGCCGAGTGGAACCTCTTGTGAGTGCCAGGTGGGACTTCTTGACCGTGAACTTCTCTGTAGGATGCACCAGCTGATCCTTAAGTCTTTCCAAGCTTCTTGGGCAGTGCCTGGAGGAGACACTCTTGTTAGAGGGAGGCCTGGTTGTCAGCGCCCGGGGAGTGCAGTGGGGTCACTTTCCCTTGCTTTGGTATACCACCCTCATTTTCAACTGGCCCATCCCCCAATCCCGGATCTTTGTGTGTGAAGGAAATTTTGTTATTACCATGTCAGAGAGGCAAGCTAAGCGTTTGCCTTTCAAACAAGTTTCAGCTGGTCCTTCCTTACTTTCCTTTTTACTTTTTAAATCATGTTATCCCACTCCCCTACTTTGCTTGCTTAAAATTGAGGTGAAATTCACATCACAAAATTAACCATGTTAAATACAATTTAGTGGTATGTAGCACTCTCCCAGTGATGTGCAAACACCATCTCCAGCTAGTTCCCAAATATTTTCCTCACTCCCAAGGAGACCCCCACCCCAAGCAGCATTTCCCATTGTTGCCTCCTGGCAGGCCCTGGCAACCAGCAGGCTATATTCTGTCTCAGGTTTTCCCCAGTCTGGATGTTTCATATAAATGAGAGCATACTGTATGTAGCCTGTGTTGTATCTGACTCTTTTCAGTTAGCATCACTTTCCAAGGTTCATCCACATTGTAGTTGTGTCAGTCCTTCATTCTTTTTTGTGACTGAACAGAATTCCATTAGATGATATTAGGGGTTCCCCCCATTATCTGAAAGAGAAAAATTCCTATTAGGTTTGGCGTGATAACTTATTTTTGGGGTCTGGAAATGCAGTTACTGTTAATGTATGTGGAAAAATTGTTACACATTCTCAGCCCCCTTGCCCCCCCCCCCCTGGAAGTCACACCAAATAGAAGTGGTGTTTAGTGGGAGAAGCTTATACTGTGTTCTGTCCATTTGTTGGCGAGCATTTGGTTGTTTCATCTTTTGACTGATGGGAAATCGCGCTGCTATGAGCATTCATGTACAAGTGTGTGTTTGAATATTTGATCTCGTTAATTTTGGGTGTATAAGAGTGGAAATGCTGGGTTATAAGGTAATGCTATGTTTAACTTTCTGAGGATTGCCAAACTGTTTTCCATAGCAGCTGCATCAGTTTTCATTCCCACCAACAACCTCTGAGGGCTGTAATTTCCGCACATTCTTGCCATCATTTTTAGTTTTCCATCATTTGATTAGAGCTATTATAGCGAGTGTAAAGTAGTCCTTATCACTTTCATTCTCATTTCCGTATGGAAAAATGATCTTTTCACATGTGTGTGGCCATTTTGTACATTCTTCCTGTAGAAATACCTATTCAAGTCCTTTCCTCATTTTTAAATTGGGTTATCTTTTTGTTAGTTGGTGAGGATATATGACTTGGAAATATTTTCTCCCACTCACTTTCTTGACAATGCCTTTTAATATTGGTAAAGTCAAAAGTCTATTTTTTTGTTGCTGTTGTTAAAGCTTTTGGTATTATTATATCTAAGATTAGACCACCAAATCCAAGGTCAAAAGGTTACCCCTGTGTCTTCTAGGAGCTTTCTAGCTTTTGCTCTTGCATCTACATCGTTGATCTGTTTGAATTAATTTTTGTGTGGTTTGAAGTCTGGCTCCAGTTTCATTCTTTTGCATGCAGATTATTCACTCAGTCAGTGAGTGGTCTGATGAGCCCCATTTGTTGAAGAGACTGCTCTTTCCTCTTGATACCCTTGTTGAAGGTGCTTGACTTTAGTTCCTCTTACCTTTATCTTCTACTTCCAGAGGTCTGGTATCTCTAGTTCCTGGACATTTTGGTAATTTTGTGTATTGGATTGTTTGCCATTTCCCACTGCACATTAAAAAAATTTTTTTTAAACCTCATATTTACATTATTATTTTTTAGCTAGCTTGTTACTTCAAATTTCATTCTTTGACCCAGGAGCTTTTATTTTCCAGCTGTGTTTTCATGCATGTGCTTTTGTGTGTTTAAATTGCTTCCTAATTTTAATTGCATGACAGTAAAAAAATGCCCACTCATTAGCTTGCCCAGAATGCCCCTCCGCACTCCCCACCGAGGCTGGCTGGCTCCTGCTCTCTGTGCTGCAGTAAGAGCTTCTGTTCTCTCAGCATTATTAGCATGCAGTGTGGGGATGCTCTGTTCTCGCCTCACTGTGAAGCTCTCTGCATTTACGATGATGGTTTGCTTCATACTTCTGTACCCAGCAGTTCATTATGGGTCTTAATATACAGCAAAATCCTGGTTAATACTTGTTTAAGTGAAAATGCCCCCAAATCCCTCTTCCTACCCTTGCTAAGGGTTAACACTACGTTACTGTTTACAAAGGAGTTGGTGAGGCGCTGGCTGTCCACTCTGCCAGCAATGACTTTGTCCAAAGAGTGCACCCTTACTGGGTGTGTGTCAGCCTCTCTTGTAAAGGCCACCTCAGTATGTTCAGTCACACAGATGAGACTGCTGCTTTGCCCGCTTTCGGTGGGACCAGCTGCAATGTGGGTGAGTAACTGGCCCCAGTGGCACAGCTGGAGGAAGCCTGGCTTGAACCCAGAACTTGACTTCGTGCACCATCACCCCGTCCCGTTAGGCGCCACGCTCCTGCTTAGAGCAGGTCCTGCAGCCTTCCTTCTGCCAAGCTCTTGGAAACGAGGTCATCCATTGTCTCCAATTCAGACTTCTATTTTTATTTTCTCATACCAGAGTTTAAAATGGTTATGAAGTGAAACCCACTGCTTTTCCTTCTTAAAACTTAAGAAAACTTAAACATTTTACATGCTCTAATAGTCTGATGAACATTTGGTTTTTCCTTATTTATAGTCTGTGTTCTTGTTTGAACTTGGATTCATGTGGAATTAACTTTGGCGTTTTAGTTGTAGACTCATCGCTTGGAGTCTCAGTGATGGTGGAATACCTTAATGGGTTTGGCAAGGTCCTCATGGCTGGGTATTTAAGTTATTGCCAGAATTCTGTTCAGAATATTTTTGTGTTAACCTAACCACTTTTTATTTTGTTCTTTTTCTGGTACATTATTACTTTTTTGTATCATGGTGGTAGGCTTCCTTCTGTTCTCCAGTGGGGTATTTTCCTAGGCTACACTACAAAGGATTAAAGAGATGATTTACTTGGTCATGCATTTGCTGAGTTACTACTAAGTGTAGGCCACTCTGGGCGCTGAACCCGAGTAGCCCTGCGTGACCGCTGGCTCTGCTCTGGCCAGTCCGACAGCGGGGGCAGCAGCCAGCGCTGTGCTGTCAGATACCTGGTGCTGTGCACTCATTCGCGGGTTGCTCCAGTCCTGCTGACTGCTTGCTCTTGGCATGTTCTCCAGTGAATCCAGTAAGTGCAGTTTATCTTTTGTTTCTTTTAAGTCTGACTGTTACATCAGGGAGAAGAAATTGCTTCTGCAATTTCGAGACATTTTACATGGTCTAGTCTTTATTTTTTTATTTGGCTCATGATTGCATGGTGCCACCTTGACTTTTGTCTTGGTGGATCACCTCTGCACCTGTGCCCTTTGAAAACCCTCTGACATTCACGGAATGAAGAATTTTAATTTTCAGTTTTTAAGATAGGTAAAGCTATTCCGAGTTTAAAGGACATCAAGGCTGGTGGAGACATTGTGCTAATGCTGGATGAGCACTCCCAAAGTAGACCATTGGCCCCTGTTTTGATTGCAGCATATTATTAAAGCAACTTGGTAATTTTCGTATCGAGTACACTTTTTTTTGGTAATGAATGACTAAAAGGATTTTTAGAGAGATAAAACCAGGTTTTTACTCTTTTTCAGGAATCCACTTAAACAACAATCTAAACCACTTGAAATTTGGCTTGGATCGCCATAGACTGCCTTCTCCTACACAAGCAGCCGCACAGCAGGGGAAGACAGAGCCTCCACCCTCCGGGGCGGGCAGCGACAAGGTCGTGCTGTTGGTGTGTAACCGCGCCTGCACTGGGCAGCAAGGGAAAAGGTATGGGCGCCTGCCAGGAGGCGCTGAGGTTTCAGAAGCCTCTTGTTTGCAAATGTTTTAGAGGCAAGGATGCAGACGCCTGCATTTTAGTTGTTTTTAATGCTGGTATTTAGAAAAAAAATATATGTGTAAGTTGACCTGATTTGAGGGGTGGGAAAAAGACTATAAATTAGGATGATAGAGTCCAAGTTAGAATGTTAAAGCCCATTTGGTTTTTAAAGGCCCGCGTGCATATGTGTTTTCACCTTTGGCTTCTCCTGGCATACTGTGCGGGCCTCTATCTAGCTTTGTTTTGTTTCCTTTTTTAAAAGATTCTTCCTTTACCCATTGGGTGGAACATGCCCCCCATTCTTATGTCCCAAACTGAACTCATTATCTTTCCCTGTAAACTGGACCCACCAGTACAGCCTGTCTCAGAAGATGGCATGACTGTTCTTCCAGCTGCATAACTCAGAAATTTGGGAGTCGAAAGTCTCTCTCAAACCTGTGTGTTTCTCTCTGTAAGAAATTTAAGGTTTTTAGACTATCTTGTAAAGTAACTTGGCTACAATAGTAATGTAACCTGAGTAATATAACAAGATAGTAGATATGTTTTAGGGAGAAAGAACTCTGTGTTCCTAGTATTTGGCAGAGTAGCCTTTTAAGTGTTGGCAGGGAAGCCTTTTACGTGTTGTTTTGAAGTAAGTGCCTTACTTAAGGATGTTAAATAACGTAAGTGAAAAATGTGTGGATTTGTACACTTAGGTGCTTATTAGCAGATGTGTGTGTGTGTGTGTGTTGTGTCGGCACGGTTACAAGTGCTGGGGCCCCGGCAGTGGGCGGGACAGGCATTCTCAGGCGCCACATCCTGGTTGGGTCAGACTGACTGCACACGAGGAAACACACTTCACTGACTCAGTGCCTCTTTGAAGATACTAAAAAGCCTTGTTGGGCAGAGCGTGCTGGTAGGGGGCTGGCACAACCCCACTAGGGAGGTTGTAGCTGAACCCCAGTGAGGGGAGAGAGTGAGCTCTGAGTCTCTGGGGAGGAGGCCAGAGCACTGGCAGCAAAGGAGCTTGGTGTGTTTATGGGATGGGAGAGGCAGCTCATTGTTAATATAAAAGAGAAAGCTCGTGGGTCCCTCTCACAGTGCCAGTCTCTTAGAAGTGAAGACCTCATTATATCAAAAATGCAGCTGCTGATTTTTATATGCTTGTAACTTCACCTCATAATAGTTTTTAGGCAGAGAGGTTTAAGGTTGAGCAATACTGTGAGTAAACTGATGGCTGTTAGGAGCAGGGTTTCTGGTGTTCTTATACCTTTGTTTCGGCCTGAATCAGGGGCCATCTGTTTGCTCATTCATTTGTTAAGCAACTACTGTTATTTTAGGCATTACCTGTTGGAACTACTAAGATAAATAAGTGTCAGTTCTTGCTGTCAATAACTTAGTTGGTGGAGGCAATAAAATAAGCAAGCGGCATTTGCAGCATGGTGTAGTTGGCTTTGTGTGGGCATGCGCTGGGTCTCCCTGTGGGCACATGGAGATGCATGAGAGGTGACCTCGAGGTGGGAGGGACGAGGCTGTTGGTCTCCACCTTCACTGTGTGTAGGGAGAGGGCCTGAAAAATCTTGGCCTGAGCTAGGTATTAGAGTAACCAGCAAATGTCGGGGGGCTGCTCGTGGGCACCCGCGCGGTCTCAGTGTGTGGAAGAGACTGAGAACCACGGTGCCGGCTCTGATTCCATAATGCCCGTGACCCCAGTGCTGCTCCAGGAAACCGGCAGGGCCCACGTGGCTCCGCCCCAGGCGCCATGGACTTCAGTGTGGCTGGCGTGCTCTGCCTTCCTCGTGGCCAGACTGCCGGGCGAGGGCTGCCTGCCTCGTGTCCTCTGGCGCCTGTCCCTTGCCTTTGGACCCATGCTGTTTACTATTCTTGTGCCCACTTATACCTTCTTTCTTCGCCCACTCTACCAGTCCTGCCCTCTCACTGCCTGATAGTTGAGCTTTTTGGTGTAAGGACTATTAAGTTTCATTTAGAAATAGAAGTTTCTCTTCTTTCTCATCCATTTGTGAGTCACTATTAAATTTTTCTATTTTGTTCTGTTTTGAGAACTGCCATAAAACCAGTTAGGTTGGAATTCCAGCTAAAGAGGTTGAAACCAGGAATTAGAATGCTAAAGGATTCTGTGCACTAAGGCGCACCTGCTTCTGTGTGCTAGGTTTGGGCTGCCTTTTGTGCTGCACTTGGAGAAGACGGTGGCATGGGACGTCCTGCAGAAGGAAATCTTGGAGAAGATGAAGTATTTCTTGAGGCCCACGGTTTGCATCCAGGTATGTAACATTTTGATATTTCAGCATAGCATGTGTGGACCTGATGAAGAAAGTGTCCATATGGTGACCTTGGCATTCAGGGAAGACCAGACACAAGTTGGAACCCTGGCGAGTCCCAGGGAAAGATGGTTAGTAAAATCAGTGTGTCCAGAGTGTCAGGACTGTGGACTTCATTTTTATGAAGGGACTTGGCTCCTGCAAGAATTTCCTTGAGCTGCTGTGTATTCTTTTGTAATATTTGCCTAATCCGTTTAGCCCAAGATCAGACTGGAGAGAGTTTGTAGAACATCTATCTGCAATTTCAAAACTAGGGTCACTGCGCTAAGGTGTCCTGGGAGGGCTACATTAAGTACATGCTGAGCTAAGACAACATATCACTGCTCTTGCGTGGCACATTTGATATGTGAATTGCTTTGGGATAACTCAGATTTAAAGTGTGTTGCGTAGCTCAACAGGCCAGCAGGATGCCATAGAGAAGTGCTTTGGGAACATCAGTTTGCTGCCCTGCTAATCTGCTTTGGAAGTAGCACTGCTGCCCTTGAAGAGAGCTTCAGCCCGTTCTCCTTTACCGTTTGACGCAGGTCTGCCCATTCAGCTTGCGCGTGGTCAGCGTGGTGGGGATAACATACTTGCTGCCCCAGGAGGAGCAGCCCCTGCGTCACCCCACCGTGGAGAGGTGAGTCCGCTCTGCCGTGGTCACTGTGCTCACGTGTGAGTTAGGGGCGCCTGGTTTCCACCTGAGTCTGGCGGGTTCTTTTGCTCATTTAGAAAATTATTTTTGATTCATATCAGAGTGTATGTCTTAGGATCTTTTTTTGTGAAATCAGAAAATGCTGGAGCACTCATGTTAGAAAGCAAATTAATGTCTGTCCCGGACTAGGGAGAAATCACACTTCTGTATTCACCAGAGTAGAACTCTACGCATACTGCTTTTCTCCTTGAAGTCCTTGAGTGGTAATCAGTGACCTAAAGTTGAAATTCCAGTGTGTCAAGTCCTTCATGGCTTGAGCCCTGATTATTTCCCTTTCGCCAGGACTTGCTCTTCTCCCCACTGCCCGAACCCTCCCCACCACCACATTCCCAAGGTTGGTGAGCCTGCCAGGGACTTCCATGTTGCTTGGCGCGTGTGGTTCTCTCCGTTCACAGAACTCATCACTCTCCTCTCTGCTACCTCTGTGCTTTCTTCATACTTAGAAGATTGTAGTGCTGTGCTGTGCTAGTAAAATGACAGCTAATACATGCACACACTATTCAGATGTGGATATATAACTATAGAAACTCACAGCATTGTTTTTATTATCGAGAGGGTTTTTTTAAACACACATTGTAGTGTCTGCCTTTTAGGATTCCAGCACTGCTTACAACGTGGTTCTGTTTGAAAGCATTCCACTGTTTGCTTTTAGAGCTAGTAAACTAGTAATTAGTAATGATCCAAAACATTGCAAAGCACAAAAAGTCTGAGTGACAATGACCTAACAATACCGACTTTCTCAGGGTGACCATGGGCCAAGGAACCAAGGGGGCTTTGTAAGGGCGGAGGTGAAATTTGAGGTAGGGGTGGGATTTGTAGGAAGGTCACAACATCAAAGAATGATTGTTGGCAGTCTTAAAATGTGATGTAAAACTTCATCCAATCTCTTTATTTCTAGATTGAATAGTTGAACTTTTAAGTCCAGTTGTAATCTAGTTATTAAATATGAGGATATAATAGACTTTTCTGATGGGAAACGCTGGGAATTTTCAGTCATAATTTCAGATAAGACGTGCTCATCATTTATTGAAATCATTTATGCAGAAAATAACATGCCTTCCCTCCTTTCTGCTCCTTACTCTGTTCTCTATCCTGTAGGGCGTTAAAATCTTGTGGACCAGGTGGCACTGCTCATGTGAAATTAGTGGTAGAATGGGACAAAGAGACAAAAGATTTGTGAGTATTTTTTCAGAGTGCAGATAATCATTTTCATTATATTTTAAAATTAGCTTTGGTCTTTCAAATTAACACATAAATCTCTTTTCAGCTAAGTAGTCAAGTTCCTTTCTAATCCTTTACTTAAGCAGTTTGTTATTTCTTTCCTTTACATTGCCTGGATCCTAAAACTTCCAAACATTTGTCTGCCCCTAATAAGAACAGATCAACTCTGATTTTTACTAACGGCCCACTCACTTCAGTGTCTCAGTTATGGCAGTTGCATGCCCTTGGATACATAGGACGGGAACATATGAGTTCATCAGCAGAGTTCATGGCCAGTCTCATAAAAACCAGCTTCATGTTATTTCTTGAAAAATAACATTCTAGCTAGAGAATTTTGCAAGCACTTTTGGAACAAAGAAAAGTTGGATATTGCTTCTGCTTTCTTACCTAGGTATCCTTTTAGTTATGAATTTATAGCTATACGGTGAACCTGTGATGGTGTTTTTTTGTGTGTCAGTTTTGAATGCCAATCTCTGCTAACATAAACATGCGCCCCCCGGCCCCCGCAGCTTGTTTGTGAATACCGAAGAGGAGTATATCCCTGATGCAGAAAGTGTCCGCCTGCAGAAAGAGCGGCATCATCAGCCTCAGACCTGCACTTTATCCCAGTGTTTCCAACTCTACACCAAAGAGGAACGGGTGAGAGGCTGGGCAGCTCCTGGACGATGAGGGTGGGGGCATGGGACTGGGGGAGCAGATCAGGTCTGTCCAGGAGCCTCTAAGCAGTGTCTGCCACGTAGTTCTGTGTGCACCTGGGTGCCTGGTGGCACTCTTTGCCGGGCTGTAACAAGAAGTGTTTTAGGTTTCTGAGAAACCTTGGTTAATTTTGTAGGAATGAACTCTTGTCTCTATTCTTTTCATAGTAATGGTTAATACATTTTTGTTCTAATTTAGAAATTTTATATTTACTTTTCTCAGTAAACTAGAATAGTAGCTTTTCAGCTTATTTGTACAAAGATTATAGGTGCCAGGACCTATTTAGAGTTAAGCTCAAATTAATTAAAATTTAAGTGAAATAAAAATCCAGCTCCTTACTGCCACCGGCCACAGTGTGGCTGCTCAGCAGGCATGGGGAGGTGCTGACCTCCCGAAACGTGGCAGTGCTACGCGCGGCTCAGAGGTGAACAGACCTGCTCCATGGCAGCCTTGGTGGTCTGCAGGACCTCCCGCTGACCTACAGGAGGAGCTTAAACTAGCAAGATACGTTACAATTTTTTAATATATATTTTGTCTTTATTGCAATAGCATTGGCTGACAACACTGTATCTGATTTAGGGAATAAAATCACACCATCTCAGATATATGTTGCTACAAGGTACATTTTAATCGGGAGTCATCCTATACATGTGGTTTGAGAATGTTCTGAGTATGCGAGGTCCTGGGGATAAAGCAGGGACCGAGACAGCAGTGTTTAAGGCCTTGAACTATTTACAGCCTCCTAGCGATAAACAAGTTAATAACGGAAGCACAGGTCCTAAGTAGGAAGGCACTTTATATGGTTGCGGAAGTGATGAGGCCAGCGTGACTGGACTTCAGAGGTTAAGAAAGAACACTAAGAAAACCCCACCTGGTCGTCAGTTAGCGTAGCCTCTGCAGCAGAGCCTGACATAGAAGGCATTCAGTAAGTGTGTGCTGGAATGACGAATATGACTTTAGGAAGACACTAAACAGTGGGCCTCAGCCAGAGAGTGAACCACAGATGAGGTGGAAGGCACAACGGCTGAGTACAAGGAGCCTTCAAACAAGGGTCTCAGAGTTGTTTTCAGGCACTTAAAAGACTGTCCTGTCCATGAGGAGTTGGCCTTAATCTTTTCTAAAAAGCTGAATTTAGAGATTGGAAATTATAGGGGGAATGCTTTTGTCTTAACATGAACTTTGTAACACACTATCTGAACATGAAATAGCTGCCTAACAGAGAGTACGCCCTGCTCCTGCCCCCATCCAGTCCCCCATTCTTTGGCTCAGCAGAGTTCACTAGACAAGTGTAGTTCCTAGTGGGGCTGCAGATCTGAAATCTAGGAGCTCGCTCTTGTTGTCTTTACAAGATAGCTGCAGAAGTCAGCAAGGTGTTCTAGGAACTGTCATGTCCATTGGATTTTGCCAAGGCATTGTTCATTGTTACTGTATCTTCATAGAAGTAGCTGTCATACATTGGAGAACAAAGTCTGACTCCTTAGAACCGAGTACCAGGGCTATGTGGAGAATATTGACATCACACAGACATGGACTTGGCCAGATCACAGCTTAAGTCCCTTTCAGTGTAACTCTTTAGTCCCCAGATTGTGGGTCTGCCCATCTTTCCTGCCGACCGACATCAGTGATTCCTTCATGGCATGAAGATAGATTCCCCCTGTTCAGCTGCCCTTGAAGATGACCACGCCAGCCTGTCTCCTGCTTTTTCTGCCAAGATTCACAAGCCTCTCACTTCTTGTTTCACTTGCATCTCTGACACTGCTCTCTAACGTGCTCGGCCCCTAGTTTGCTGAATGCAGTGGCTTCGCTCAGAATGTGGTTCCTGTAGCCACCTTGTTCTTGCCACACTTTCTTCTTGGTTTGTATAAAAAGGGGACAGTTCTCATGTGCCTTTTTCTGTGACTCCACTCTCTGGTCAGGTCTCAACTTGTGTGTTTCACACAAAAAAGAAAGGTTCTCCGAGCATCTGTCCTTGGCTGCTGTGGCTCATCTCGGTGAGCAGTGCCGTCCACTGCCAGGGCTTCATGGTCCCAGATCTGATATATCTTCTGAAACCCAGAGTAGATTTTAAAAATCTCTCTTCAGACATATCCTGCCAGCATCTCGAAGTTCTAATGTCTCCTCCCTGAAACTGTTGCTTGCAAAGTGACAAACATGGATTTGAGGCCCCACATGGCCTTTCAGAGGGGAGGATTTATTTGGAGTAGCTTAAGGCCTCGGGGAGAATGAACAGTTGGAAGACTTAAGAGAACTTTCAGTTGGGTTGTGAGACTGGGGAGGAGAGGAGATAGGTGTGAGAATGGCAGAGACAGAATTACTTTGGGTGGGTGAGAAGAGGGAAGAAGAGGGGAAGGGCTTGCATGTCTGTGCTGACCCCCCATGTTTTGCCTTTGGTGGTTGGTAGAGTATTTGCAGAGGTCGACATAGGGAGGAGAGAGACAGTCGCACTGATGCAAAGGCCCTGAGTGGCGTCTGGGCCCACGTGAACTTGAGGTGCTTCTGTCATGAAACTTCCTCTCTGCAGTGTTTACCTACTTAGCTGTTCTTTTTTGAGGGAGCACGTACTCAGTGGGTGTTTGGGTGCTAATTGCTCGTGTTTTGCCGTCAATTCCTATCACGTGTCATTTCTGGAGAGATTCTCCACAGCGCCCTGGCCAGGAAGCACCCGTCTGCCCTGAGCCTGCCTCGAGTAGTGCTTACACCTGCTCCCTTTCAGCTCGCCCCGGATGACGCCTGGCGCTGCCCGCACTGCAAACAGCTGCAGCAGGGGAGCATCACGCTGAGCCTCTGGACGCTGCCCGACGTGCTTATCATACACCTGAAGCGGTTTCGACAGGTGAGGGAGCGCTGGGAGGTTCCTCATGGCGCGGCGGCCTGGGGGCTGTGCTGTCCCGGTGTGACCCTGGCCGCCCTGTTTCCTGTCCTGTTTTGTCTTTTCCCAAAACAGATTTTGAGCCTCCTGTGACCCTTGAGTCCTAAATGTTTCACTTCCTACTACAGGTGTTTTACTTTATTCTTGGGTTTTGGCAGGTTTACTTCTGGCTCCTTTCTGGGGCTGGTGCAGTTCTGTTTCTCCTAAAAGTAATTACAGGTATTGTCCTGCTCCCCGGAGCTGTCACACATTTGGGGACATCAGTCATAAATATCACAAAGAAAATTTTCTCTGGGTGGTTTTGTTTTTTGAGGCAGTTTTTCCAAAAGACCCCTATTTCCTGAGGTTACAGTTGTCCCGCCCAGTCCCTTGTCAGAGGTGAGTGGGGGGGGGCAGTTAGGTTCTGGCCAGGCTTCAGGAGGGCGTGGCTGGCTGTGCTGGGCGGGCTGCAGGCCCCACGCCTCCTTTGACTCGCTGCTTTGCTGAACTCCCCTTTTTGTTGTTGCCTTTTTAGTTTGTTTTTTAGCAAACTGAAGGTTTGTGCAGCCTTGCGCTGGTGCAGCACGTTTTCACTCTGTGTCTCTGTTGTCCCTTTTTACAATATAATATTTTTTTTTTTAAAGATTTGTTTATTCGTACAGAACTGGGGTACAGGCCAGAGATTCGGAGGGTGAGAGGATTCACCAGAGACAGAGTGGGGAGCAGAACAGGCAGATGGGCGAAGTACACTGCTGTGGGGAGCAGCGGGCGGGCCAGGAGAGGTCTGCGGCGCCCTGTGGGTCACCTCCGGGGCAGGCGGGAATCGAACTCATGCGGAAGTGGCTTAATCTTTTCAGTGCAGTGCTTTAACCTGCTGTGCCACCAGGGAGGCCCGCAATAAAATATTTTTTAACTTAAGCTATGTACAGTAGTATTTTAGACATAATGCTGTTAACATTTCAGGGACTACAGTGCAGTATAAACATTTACATGCACTGGGAAACCAAAAAGTTTATGTGACTCACTTTATTGCCGTCGTTGCTTTATTGCGGTCTGGAGTTGAGCCCGCAGCCTTCGAGGGAGCCTGTAACGCAGTGGAGCAGCAGGAGCAGAGCCTGCTGGCTGAGAGGGTGTAGCGTGTGCGGGAGGCCGAATGCAGCGCGCGGCGGAGAGAGCTGGGGGTTGTAGCAGCAGGTGCTGATCAGCCGAGTGTAGGCAGAGTGCAGTGAAGGGTTGAAGCAAGAGGAGCAACGTGGCCATATTCGTGTTTTGCAGAAGCTCTTCCGGGTGCTGTGTGGAGAATTAGAGGATGCAAGAATGAAGATGGGAGCTGGGACGGAGGCTGTCACTGTCACGGGGGTGGGGCGGGGTGTGATGAGTGGAGGCGGAGCTGTGGCAGCAGAGGTGGACAGCTCTGAAGAGAGCTGGAGACATTGGGGACTTGCTGGTGCAGCAGAGGTGCTAGGGGTGACACCCACATGGGTCCCAGGCTGGGCTTGCACACGCAGCTGGGGGCCCAACTCCCGTGCTGGTGCAGAGGAGGCTGCGTGCTTCCACTGGGGTCTGCTGGCAGGTGACGGTGAGGGCTTGGGCCCTAGTGCACTCTGCTCCTTCCGTGCACACAGAGACTAGTTTTCTTTGCTTTCTGTTTCTGTTGAAGCTGTCTGCACCCTTCCGGCATCCTGTATCAAAGCTGTGGGGTCCTCTTTGCCTCTCATTTCTTGCCCCACTCACCAGGCCATCTTCCGGCTGCTTAGCTTTGCCTCCTGTGTGTGTCCTCCGCCCCATTCTTGCTGTCACTGCCACTTCAGACTGCTGATAACTTCCCAGCTCCTTGCAGTTCAGTATCTCTTAGTCGATTCCGTAGCCTGTGTTGGGCTGGCCCTGTGTCCTAATGCACTTTTCAGCTCTCTGCCCATGACTGTCAGGGTGTCAGCCCTCGCAGAGCTGCATCCCTGTCCCCACCCAACTGTCCACCAAGGTGCATATTTGGGAGCCTCACCTTCCTGACCAGCCAGGGCCTGTTCTGTCTTCCTCTTAGGATAGTTTCCTTCCATGAGGGTAGCTGTTACCTTGACACAATTAGTTTTAAAAGTTCCGATACACACAGAAAACTCTCAGTAAAAATCTGTTGAACTGGTGATTGGATTTCAAAGGATTTCCCTATGGGCTTAATTTGGACACTGTAGATTACTCAAGATTGTCAATGAAATGTATATGTTGAGCTAAGTCAGTGTCAGCTTCTAATGTATGTCCCAGGAGAGCTGGGGAAGACCGGCCCCGTGGACGCCAGCCCTGTTTGGGGCCCTCCACATGGGTCTTGCTTCCTGCCTTTTCACGCCTCTGCAGAGAATCAGGCTGACCTCCCCCTGCCCCCCCAAATTGTGTCTTTTCCCAAGACTTTATCAGGCAGGAAAATGAAGGCTCGGGGCTTTATTACTTACCTACCCCCTTTACAAGATCACCACTGGCTCCATTTTTAGTAATATTAGAACCTGTTCCCCCAGACAATTAAAGCTGTCTTGTGTTTATCTTGGAAACATCAACTGGACCAGGCAGGCCATGTTAGCTGATAAGGTGCATACTGCACATTACTTGATCTGCCATCTGCTTGCATGAAAATATCATCAGCACTTGTTTTTCTTCTTGCACAGGAAGGAGACAGGCGTATGAAGCTTCAGAACATGGTCAAGTTTCCCTTGACTGGCCTGGACATGACCCCTCATGTGGTTAAGAGAAGCCAGAGCAGCTGGAGCTTGCCGTCCCATTGGTCTCCATGGAGACGGCCCTATGGACTCGGGCGGGACCCTGAGGACTACGTCTATGACCTGTATGCTGTGTGCAATCACCATGGCACCATGCAAGGGGGGCACTACACAGGTCTGCAGTGCGAGAGGCCGGGTGTCTGCTGGCGGCTCCTAGATGGGTTTTGTTTGTCAGGGCTTCGTCCTTTAGAGTCTCACTTTCTCTTCCAGTAGGCAGTGCCAGCTGTGAGGGCACTTTCGTCCTCTGGATCTTTGTCCAAGAGCAGATAAATGAGAATGCTTCCTCCTTTCCCTGAGCCGGATCGTCCTGGTTGCCCGCCCCGGTGGCCACGGTGTGTGCAGTGGGGTCACGTGAGGGCCCCTCTGCCTCCTTCAGCTTCTGCTTCTCCTTGGTTGGAGTGACCTTGAGCCATTTTCAGTGTCTTTAAAGTGACTTGGAAGGATTTCTTTTTAAGGTTAAATTTACTTTTTCATTTGTAAAAGTATGCTCATCCTATGAAATACAGGGGCTTTATGACTCAGGATGGCTTTATCATTTCAAAATGACTGCTGGTAATGCTAAAAAGATTGTTTACCGCGTAACGTAGTGGACTGGGTTCAGTGGCACTGAGTGCGCTCACCCTGCCGTGAGGCCATCACGCCATCTGGCTGCAGACTTTCTCGTGTGCCACGTGAACTCGTAGCCATTACATACTGACAGCCGAGGGCTTTCTCTGTGAATTTGACAGCTCTCGGTACCTCAGCAGGGGATCACATGCTCCTTGGCCTTTTGTGCCCGGCTCATTTCACTTAGTGCCCTGTTATTAAGAGTCACCCGTGTTGTGTCAGCATCTCTGTCCTCTTTAAGACTGAATAGTAACCCATTGTCTGTAGGTAACATTTTCCTTCCAGTGTCTTTCTGTAAGTCTTGATCATCCCTTTGCTCTGGGGGGGCTGTGCTGTTGTGTTCTGTTCAGCTGGATAGGCAGTTACAGCCATGCCTGTCCAAGCTGCCCTGGGCTGTGTCATGTTAGAGGTGTGTCAGAAATAAGTAGGGCCCACCCTTGTTTTCAAGGGTGCAGTCAGGTGGGGGTGAGTGGGTGTGTAGGTGCTAATGAAACCCAAAGAGCAGCCACAGGACACCTTCTGTGGTGGGAGTGTGAGATGGGTGGGACAGAGGAGAGAATGGTCAGGGCGTGCTGCAGGGGCAGAAGCCACTGGGGCTAGTAACCTGCTGACCGCACCTCAGGTCCTGCAGGCTGAGGGAGGAGCCAGGCAGTTGAAAGTGTCAGAATGTCAGGGTGTGGGCTAGGTGGTGTGTGTGCATGCATTTCTGCACCCCAGTCTTTATACTTAACTTTGGGATGTGAATATTTTGACACAGTCTCAGTTTTTTAAAAATGATTTAATTATTTATGCATACAGAACTGGGGTAGAGGCCAGAGGTGTGTGGGATGAGAGGATTCACCAGAGATAGAGTGGGGAGCAGAACAGGCAGACTGACAAAGTACACTGCTGAGGGGAGCAGCGGATGAGACAGGAGAGGTCTGCCGCGCCATGTGGGTCAGCTCCCTGGCCAGGGGTGGAACTCATGCTGCGGTGGCCTTGGAGAGCTTCATAATGTGGTGCTTTACCCTGCTGCACCACCAGGGAGAGCCCACAGTCTCAATTTTTATTCATGTGATTTTTAATGATCCCAGAATATTCTTTTGGTACAATGCTATAGTTTTATATAATCGCCCCCTGTTCTTGAACAAACGCCTTTCTGATTTTTTACTTTGAACTTAGTACTGACGAACACCTTTGTGTTCATTTGCCTTCTGTATGTTTTTGAGACTGAGTTTCAGAAATGACACTGCTGAGTTAGAGCATGTGTGAACACTGAGGGGGTGGGAGCTTTGTGGCTTCTTGCTTGGGGGTCTGCGTGGGGTGCTGCGGTGTTGATGCAGTTGCCTGTCTGGGCGGCCAGTGCTGGTGCTTCTGCATCCTTCACGCGCCTCAGGGTTGATACGTGTCCTTGTGAGGGACTTCCTTCATCCATTGTGTTTTCTGCGACAGCACTCGTGCTGCCAGGGATCCATAAAGGTAGGGGCGGTGGAAGAGAGGGTTCACAAGCCTGAGACTCTTCCCAAGCGGTTAGCTCTCAAAGCCCCAGTGACAAGATGAGAAGCCTGTCCCCTGCGCTCCGCCTCGCTCTGGCACTTACCTCAATCTGCTCTTCCCTCTAGCCAGTGGGGGGGGAGGGGCTGTGACTGGATTCAACAGTCGTTTGTTCTCGAAACACTTAGTTCAAGTTCATCCGATATTTAGATTCGGGCAGGTACAGTTACCCAGGAGGGGAGTGATCCCAGCACTGAGGTCTTGCCGTGGAGAAGTTGCCTTGCCTCCACGTGCCCTTGGAGGTTCTTTTAGGGAGGAGATAGGAAATTCAGAAATCCTCCAGGTTTATAGAAGACAAAGTTAACATCTACTAAAGCTAGATGTTTTAGTATATCTTACCCTGTAGTTTGGTTCTGATAATACCATAGATCACATCTTGCATATTTTATATTTGATGGAGGCCATGTGTAACACCTGTTGTGCATCCACTAGGAAAACATCTTTCTCTGATACTGAGTCGTAGACCTATTTACTCCTGACCTTGTAGAATTCAAAGGAATGTAGAGCTCATTTCATTCACTGGTTGCCTGGTATAGTAATGTCTCTGCCAGCACCCCTCGTTGGTGTTCCTCCACCTTTAGCTGGGGTAAAGAATGCCTCTTCCATTTGTGAAAGTTTCTTAGGAAAATACAGACTGGCATGTTACACAGTTTTTAGCAAGAACTTGTTGAGAAGTCTAGAATGGTTCCTGAGTTTAGCTGTCATCTTGCCCTTTGTGTAGAATAGGTTTTGAAAAATGCCTGAAACCCCACAGCTTGTAGGCAGTTCACTTTAGTGAAAGCTTGGGTTAGACATTGGGCCCCTTTCCCTAGCTCTGACCTTTTGGCAGCTAACCACACCCTAACTTGGTGACCTCATCTGTAGCCACAGGGGGCCATGTCTGTCTCACAGAACCTGTTCCTTAGCTGTTTGCAGATACTCCGCATTGTGGCCATGCAGCTCTGTTTCCAGCATATGAAAATGTTTAGTCTTAGTTTAGAGAACACTTTGAGTTAATGATAACTAGTTGCACTTGTTCTGGCTATAATCACATGGTGCTTGTGTCAGTAACTTGGGTAAGGATTCTAGGACAGGAGTTCTCAAACTGTCCAATAAAGAACCTTTTATCTTTTTAAATTTTCAGTCTTCCACAAACCAAAATTTCATGGCAATATCACATTGGCTTAAACATCATATGTAATTGAGAGACTTGCTGTGTTAAGTTTTTAAACACTTATATCAGTTTTGGTGTTGACCCTGTTGTAGACTGGCAGTGTTCTGGGAGCCAGTTTTACGTAGCACTGGCCTAGGAAACACTTCAGAAAATGGTAGTAGAAAGAAACGCCTATAGAACTGTTTTGTAAATCCAGCACTAATGCATCACCGAGCCGCTGTGCAGCCTGTGCAGGCCAGCTCATCCTGAAGAGCAGACTGGAGTCGGTGGCCAGGTTGCCTCGTCTCTTCTCTCGGGTGTGCTCCCCACCAATCCTTCCACCCACTCCCACTCCAGAATAGCTGCGCCCACTGCAGCCGGGGGTTGACCATCAGGCAGGCTCCCACACCACGCCAGGCAGGTGCTGACCTCCCTGCTCCATCTGCTGTTTTTGCCTCATTTCTCTTCCTTTGGTTCCAGTGTGTTCATTGCTGCAGGCTGTAGGTTCTTACTCTGCTCTTTTCCCAGGCTTCTCTGGGGTAGCTCTTCCTCACCTGGTTTCTTTTCTGTCTCGTGGGTTTCTTACTTAGAAGCGTGGAGGGAGTTACTCCTGGACCTTAATGTGCCCTACCCCTGAGGCCTTCTTGAATCTGTTCCAGTCTTCAGCTAAATATTCTAGCACTCATTTATTCTCACCCCTATAAGTATTTTTAGAAAGTGTCATAAGAATGTGCCTTTGTGGATCAAACTTATCACGCCCCTTGAAGGCTTTATGATGTGGCTTTATGATCGTTGAGGCCTTGTATGTGCCTGCTGGTACTTACATGCTTTCTGTCTCTCTCAGGCCGAGGTTTGAACAGGAGGGAAGGCCGCGTGCATTCATGTGCTCAGTGTTCTCTTTGCCAGGGACTTCCCGCGAGCAATGTTTGTGCCATTGTTGAGGGAAGCTGGGGCGGGTAGAGGTGCTGGTGCAAGTTGGGTACCTGGTGACCCTGAAATGAGCTCACCCTTCCCTTCGCCAGCTTTGTGACCTTGGGCCCGTTTCATATTCTTGAACTTCCGTAAAGTGGAAATAACAACAACAAATTTCAAAGGATTAAGTGAGATACTTGGCACATAAGTGTTAAACACAGCTAGGAGCGGCTGCAATTTTAAGTATCACTATTTTTCTGTTACTTTTTTGCTAATAAACACTAAAATGTTTCAACCTGCTGAAATGAGGGTTTCTAAACCTCAGCACTGCTAATACTGGGGCTGGATAATTGTTGCAGGGCAGTCCTGTGCATTGTAGGGTGTTGAGCAGCACCCTACTCAAAAATGCCCTGTGCGTTGTCAGCTGTCCCCTGGGGAGGGTCTCGGGGTAGGGGTCCCTGCTGAGACCGACTGATTTAAATGACTAGATGTATTGTGTTTTCTAAGATTAAATAGAATTTCATCCGTTTGGAGTTTCTGTGACCACTTTGCCTGTGTCATAGAATTTGGATTTTTCTCATTCCCCTGTGAACTACAAGAACATTCAGATGTTCTTGAATTATTACCATGAGCCCAGGAATGGTGTCTTGGGGGGGGGGGCAGCCCCACCATCCCTGGTACTGACGACAAGTCTTGTTGGCAGCGTTCTGTAAGAACTCCGTGGACGGCCTGTGGTACTGCTTCGACGACAGCGACGTGCAGCAGCTGTCAGAGGAGGATGTGTGCACGCAGACGGCCTACATCCTCTTCTACCAGAGGCGGACGGCGATTCCCTCGTGGTCGGCCAACAGCTCCGTGGCGGGTAAGGCTGATGCGGTGCTTGGGCACTTTTCTTCTGGAGCAGGTGATTGTAGTTAGTGACCTAGAGAACAACTGCAGGAGGCCTCACAACTCTCACATTTTTGCATTGGATCTGGAAACCAGGATGGTTGCAGTCGAGGACATGTGGGCAGGCTGCCGGTAGCTGTGAGCCAGGGAGAGTCCACATGGGGCCGAGGCGCCCGGGGTGGGCGCTGGTGGCCGGGCAAGCTGGAGAGCTGTGTGCTCGCCGCTCTTGAGAGAAGCGAGAGTGACGGGCTTGGAATTAGAGTAGCTCTGGCTTGTACAGTTGCGGGGGTTATTCGGAGCCGGTCCCACCGCGCTTCCCATCTGTGACATCTGTGACGCCGGTGCAATGACGGCTCCCTTGTGGGTTGTTTTGTGCATCTGGTTTGGTAAGTCTGTGCTGAAGCTTTTTATAAAGGGACAAGTGCATTGGAGTTAGGTCTTTTTCCCAATAAAACCCACCTCGAAGAGGCAGAGAACGAGAGATGAATGAATATATTACTGCATCTGAAGGCTATAATGACATTAGATGACTGCAGTTAGCTTAATGGAATCTGGCCTGTTGTGCGTAATCAGCACAGGCCCCAGCACCCACATGCAGTGGGGTGCAGCCAACAGAGTCCCAGCAAGGGGCCATGTGCTTCTTCACAGAGCTTAAGAGAATTTCACAGCAGACTGGCCGAGATACACTGTGACTAGATTTGGGCCTATTAGTCCCTGCTCGTCCCAGAGGTTGCCAGAGGTAAGGAAGCTTGAAGAACCCAAAAGGAGGACCCTGCTGGGAATCAGGCTCCAGCAGGGACACCTGCGTGTCAGTAGCCACAGGGCTAGCAGGACACAGCAGCCCCAGGGCTCTGCTGCCTTCCCTTGTGCTCTCCAGAAATCACGCCCTCGTGAGGCCGCACCGCGGTCTCTTGTCAGCTCCAAGAATGGTCTCCATTGTTCTGATACACATTTAAGACATACGGGGTGTGTGTGTGTGCACGCGCATATGTGTTTAAATCTGCAAAACTGCGAGGCCAGGGAAATACCTGAACTCTTCACTCTTCTCTTTCCACATTTTTAGGAGGACGGGTTTCTTAGAAAAAGGCCAACAAAGAGGAGGCACCTGCATAGTCACAGGCGGGCAGGCGAGCTGCTCTTTTCTCTCTTTGTGACAGGAGTGTTATTGCGAGTTCTTAGAACAGTGCCTGGCATGGAGGCACTTACTAGGCATTTGCAGAGTGAAGCTGCATGAACATCGTTCATACTCTGTTCTCACGCCGGATTGTAAGCCTTGGGCTTACATTGAAGTCTCTTCCCCATCATTGCCTTTTATTGCTGCAGATGAATGTAGGCGCTGGCCCTCTTTTTCTCATCTTAACAAGATCGATATTTGAGCAGGTGCAATGTGGGGTCTAGGGTTTGATGCTGGCTACTGGGTGAGGGCCAGATACCCCCCACAGACGCAGCTTCTCCGTACGGGATGCCCAGCGTGCTGGCCTGACCTCGGTGTCTGCTTTCTTTTCTGAAGGCTCTACAAGCTCGTCCTTGTGCGAACACTGGGTGAGTCGGCTCCCTGGGAGCAAGCAAGCCAGCGTGACCTCTGCAGCTTCCTCAAGACGTACCTCCCTGGCCTCACTCTCTGAGTCCGTGGAGATGATGGGGGAGAGAAGCGAAGATGACGGTGGGTGTGCATTTCGTGTTGTGATTCCAAAATGCGAAATCATGGCCATAACACAGAGTCCCTCGTATTTAGGAGCTGAGTCCCACAAAGATTGTGAGAGAATGTAAAGGGGGTCACAGACTGTGGATTATGGTCATAATAGTAACATTTTATCTAAATGGGGTGTTCATTTGCTTTTCTTCTGACCTGGGACATTTCCCTTCCACTAAATTGTTTTTCCACCTTTAAGGTGGCAAATGTGCAGACTGGAACTATATAATTCTGTATAATAATTTGCACTTTTTCCCAAAGTGCTTATTAAAATCCTTAAAATAGCTGTTGTAGGGGACGTGGTAAAATCATGATTGGCCCCGGGCCACCAGTGGTGAGTCTCCATGCCTGGCATGAAAGCTTCCCGACTCTCGGCTTTTCACCTTTCCATCACATTGCTTCCTCAGAGGATCTGAGTTGTTTTCTTTTATGTACAGCGGTACCTAGAACAAAAGCTTTAAAGGCAGTTTTTAGGAATTCTGAAGAAGGCTGCCATATAAAAGCTTTGAAAACCTGCTAAAATTGAGCTGTGTTTTTACCTTCACCTTCCACTTGAGTAATGGCAGTGCAGCCCCTAGCTCTGATGAGGACCCCAGGTGGTGGGGAAGGACCAGGCATCCAGAGCTCCTGAGAGCTGGAAGGAGAGGAGGGTGAGCTCAGCTTTGGCGATGAGCACGGAGACTCCTCTGCCAGCGAGTCTCCTTCCTCGCCAGCATTCCCGTCGCTGTGATCTGCTTCTAGTGGTGACAGCCCATTCTGAGCACATGAAATGGAGGAGCAAGCCGGGAGCTGGGAGGCAAGTGCCAGAAGGGGAGATCGGCGCTGAGGGTTCAGCCACTGCTCTGGCTTGTTGCCTCTTGGTTTGCACCAGGCTGGAGGCTTGCACTAAGCTACTTCTAGTCCTGACATTTTAGGAGAAACTGACCATCGATTTTGCTTGTTTAGGTACAGGCTACTCTCAACAGTCTTTTAACCTGGAATTCACTGTCTTTTTAACAGTAAGCCTCAATGTGGCTTGTCCCAGTCTATTTTTAGACCACTGGTGAAGTCATTGTTCTCTGAAGTGTCGCCTTTGCCAGGCAGGGATGCCGGGAGCTGCCCACAGCACAGAACCTCTCTCTGAGGGCTTTATAAATACCACAGCCACGAGTACAGTGAGCTCAGCATTTAACTTAGAATATTTTCTTTGGAGATTTTAATTCACTTAGGATAGGAGTGTGTTGCCTGTTTAGTTCTTTGCACTGTCCCACCTTTATAGTCAGTAGTCACTGTGCAATTACAATCATTACAATGCCCACATGTGGCTTGAAGTGGGGAACAGAGAATGTGGGTGATGCTGCTAGCTGGACCTCTCATTACTTGTGAAGTTTGGTTAAGGACTTCACGTCTGAATGCTTAATGCCCGCCCTCAGTCAGCTGAAGAAGCTCAATCACACTTGCTGAGCAGCTGTGGAATGCCAGGTGTCTTGCTGGGCCAGGACTTTGAAGATTTTACTCGGTTCTCAGAGTGGAGGGTGACGGGCAAATTGCAGGTCACAGCCCAAATGCAGATCCTGCCTTCATTGTGTGCAGCGCTGTATTGCAGCCATGCCACTGGGTGTATTCGGCTATAGCTGCCTTCGTGCTGCATGGCAGTTTGAGTATCTCAGCTGCGAAGCCTGAAATAGTTACTCTGGGTCTTTACAGAAAAAGCTTGCTTGCTTCTGATGTGGGCCAAGAAGGTACAGAGAAATTACAGATCCCCAGTTAGAATGTGCCTGTTTTGTAGAAATGTTGAAGTCTTTGGCTTTCCTTAACCTGACACATGGCTGGCCCAGAGGGCCACACACCTGCCTTTCCATGAGGCTTTCCTTCCTTTCAGCTTCAGTCTCGTACGATGTTGCCAGAACATTCTGTTGGTTTCATTTAACAGTTTTCTTTGCTGTGATCCAGGGGGCTTCTCAACGCGACCCTTTGTGAGAAGTGTTCAGCGTCAGAGCTTGTCAGCCAGATCTTCAGTCACCAGCCCCTTGGCCGTCAATGAAAATTGCATTAGACCTTCTTGGTCCCTGTCCGCTAAGCTGCAGATGCGCTCTAGTTCTCCGTCCCGGTTCTCAGGGGACTCTCCCATTCACACCTCTGCCTCCACCTTGGAGAAGATCGGGGAGGCAGTGGACGACAAGGTCTCCATCTCATGCTTCGGGAGCTTGAGGAACCTTTCTAGCAGTTACCAGGAGCCCAGCGATAGTCACGGTCGACGCGAGCACAAGACTGTGGGTCGGGCCCCTCTGGCTGTCATGGAGGGAGTGTTCAAAGACGAATCCGACACCCGCAAAGCGAACTCCTCCAGTGTTGTAGATACACAGAGCAAGAACTCAGCACAAGGGGACTGCTTGCCCCTCGTCTCTGACCCGTTCGATAACAATAATCAGATTGCATATGTGGATCAGAGCGATTCTGTAGACAGCTCTCCTGTCAAAGAGGTGAAACCCTTGAGCCAGTCAGGGTCTGTCACCAAGAAACCAGAGAGCACAACCAAGAGATCCCCGGGTTCCAAAGGCCCTTCTGAGCCAGACAGAAGCTTGCGGAAGGGGAGACCGGTCTTGGCAAGTCAGGAATCATCTCTTTCAAGTACATCCCCTTCTTCTCCTGTTCCTGTAAAAGTTTCTCTAAAGTCCTCCCGCTCGCGAAACAAGACAGAGTCTTCTTCTTCCAGGGCCAGTGGACGGCACTCCTCCCCTGCCCCACCCAAAAAGGCATCCTCCCCCAAGTCCCAGGACTCCATGTCGTCTCCTTCCCCCCAGAAGCAGAAGTCAGCTGTTTCCCTCACTTATGCTGCTTGCTCCACATCTGCCAAAAAAGCCTCGGCTCCCACCGCACGGGGCCCCTTCCCTCCTGGGAAGAGCAGGACTTCAGACAAGAGCTTAAGCAGAGAGGGCTCCAGACAGAGCCTGACCTCCGATAGAGCCAGCCTCTCTAGCTCCAAACCCAGCTCTCCGAGGGTGAGCCAGGCCAGAGTTGGGGAGGGCCGAGGGGATGGGAAACACGTCAGGAGCTCCTCCATGGCCAGTCTGCGCTCCCCCAGCACCAGCGTGAAGGCTGGACTGAAGAGGGACAGCAAGTCAGAGGACAAGGGGCTGTCCTTCTTCAAATCGGCCTTGAGACAGAAGGAAACGCGGCGGTCGACAGATCTTGGCAAGACAGCCTTGCTCTCTAAGAAGGCCGGCGGGGGCTCTCTCAGGTCAGTCTGTAAGAATGCCATGGACGACAAGGCAGAGAAAGGCCTCCAGCCCCCAGGTTCCCAGCAGCCTCCTACACATGCAGTTGGGAAAGAGCTGGTTGTTGCCAAAGACTCCACTTCTGCTAAACATTCCCTGCTGTCTGCTCGCAAGTCCAAGTCTTCCCAGCTAGATTCCGGCGGACCCTCATCTCCTGGCGGCAGGCAGTCTGCTGAGAGATCTTCAAAAAAGTTACCTTCCAGCATGCAAACCCCTGCACGGCCTCCTCAGAAACCTCAGTGATAACTCCTGTAACCCCAGTGTTTTATCTGTAAAGATGTTTATTGTTTATTTATTTAGGGCCTCCCCATCAAAGCCCTCTCTGCTTTTGTTTTGTATTTTTTGGGTCATGTGCCTGGTGTGTGTGTGCGCGCGCGCTCACGTGAGTGTGTGTGTGGAAGAGTTCAATTGCAATTGTTGAAAGCGTCGCCTTATTCTGCCATTGAACCAAATAACAGCCACAGGCAAAGCATATTGATACCAAGCTAACTGGAATTATTGTAGACAATACCTGGACTCTCCCTAGCAATTGTATATATTTCTTTCTAGAGAACGCTAATGACTTTCGTTGGACACTAGGGTTTTGAAACCTGTGAACCAGTTAAGCTGTCATCCATGTGCTCTGTAGGAGGATGAACTGTTTGACTTGGGTGTCATCTCAGCAGGATTTATCCTCACCACAGATTGTCATGTGGCACCAGGAGCTCTAAAAACTGACACTAACAATGAAAAACTGAGGGAAAACTGTTGCTTTCTGCACTTTGGCCCCATCTACCAGTCTTTGTAAAGGGCAATATTTATCACTGATGTTTCTCAGGTATATACTCAGCTAGACTAACACGGACGTGTGTCAGTGAAAGGGTCAAAGAGGGAGTTGGCCCGTGGTGGCTGTCGGTTCTCCGCCTACCGCAGGTGCAAGTCTGGAGTGCTGGAAGTCTCCCGGGCCCGGCGTGTCTGCAAAGGTGCCTGTACCGTGAGCAGTTGTGACCCTGGGGATATGTGTCAGAGGCGGCAGAGATCCAGAAGGCCAGTCACCAGTGGTTAACTTGTTTTTTCCCTTCCAGGCTTGCTGGCCAAGGCCCAGGGGGGTTTGAAAGGCAGTGGAACGGCTAACACTTTTGAGAGATTCCTAGGGGAAACGTGGATCCTGAGGCGGATGTGTGAATCTCTGCTGTCCTCCGTGGCGTCGTCCTCTCTGAGTTACGAGTGGAGCACTCCATGCTGTGCTGTGTGTGCCGCGGCCTGGCGCACTGGTGTGTTTCTTCCCTGTAACCGTGAGAGGAAAGAGGTTGCCCAGACCCGGGAGTGGTGGCGGGGTGGAAGCCTCATGCGGCACAGCAGCGCGCACATCTGACCCTCCTGTCAGTCTGGCTGGTGTCTGCTTTCACTAACTCCTTTGTTTCTTCTTTGTGCTGAAGATTTGATATCTGGCCCAGAGCTCATAAGCAGGATTGGAGCATGTTCTGCCTGGCATCGTCAGTGCAAATTGCCTTGCTTGTTCAGGAAAAAGGGACCTGAAAAATGCCTCACAAATAGGCAAGCTTGATAGTCTTGCAAACTTTTTGGAGGGATGCTGACCATACCGAGGCTCCCCTCTTCTCAGTATTTTGTTTAAAGGTCAAAAGAGTCATGTTCCTGACTTTCTGAATTGCATTTGTCATGCTGCCATGAAATACATAGCACGCGGCGTTCATAGGCTCTTAAATACTGACTTAATGTGTAAATTGCAGACGTGTCGGGCTTGTCTCCTCGGCGCGCAGACCCACTGTGATCTATCTCCCTTCTCAGTGTTGCTGGGTGTGAAGTGACCAGAACAACACGTGTGCGTAGCCACAAATTCTGCACTGCCTTTTTTTTCTTTTTCTCTTTTATTCCATGATTACCTCTCGGGAAATGTTTCCAGTAGGTCACTTAATTTTATTTTGCTGCTGTTTTGAGCACTAGCAGGTCCCTTGCAAGTCCGGAGGCCATTGATGCAGGGGTAGCTGGAATTTAGGTCCTCGGAATATTTAAGACTTACATGCTCAGCCTGGTGAAGTTTCCGTAGGGCGCCATGAAACTCACGCTGCAGGAGCCTGTGGCCCATCGCTGGCTCCTCCCTGGCACCCGGCTCACCGTGCAGCGTCTGGTCCCCAGAGCAGCTCGCCGCCCCTGCGGGAGCGGCTGCCTGCTGCTGCTGTCCCAGCTTCCCAAGGCACGCGGACAGCCCCCTCAGTGTTCAGCCACTGCTAGTTTTACTGTATTGCTTTTATTTCCTGGAAAAGATGCACAAAGGGGAGCATCAGCGATACCAGGAATTGTTTAATTTGAACACTTCCTCTTTCTTTAAGAAAGAAATTTGAAATCTGTCTGAAGCAGTTATAGAAATTATAGTTTGACTACACAAAGGGTTTTAATAGGCACATGGAGGGGTCGGGATTTTAATCAGTTAAGCATTAAGAGAAAGCGGTTTAACTTTCACAGTGGTAAATGTTTTTATACTTGAACCCTTCAGGAATGGATTTTCCATTATGTTTGTGTCTAAAAAAAAAAGCAACAACTATAGACTACTTTAAATTTCCATGGGATCCAGAAATAAAATTTCAGTGTCTTTAAACTGTATGTTTGTGGAGTTTAGTCCTTGTTTCAGATATAAAGGGGGGACAATTCAGGAAGTAATGGCATTATCTAGGCATCTTGAAGCTGTGATATTTCTGTGCTTGGAAAACCATGAAACTTCTTGTTAAACATCTTTAACTACTAGGTGCAGCTTTAAGGCAAGCTGCACCTACTGCGCTCAGAAGTTTGGAGGTGCTCTTTGACCCGAGAAATACCTTATAAGAAATACTACTTCTTCAGTTCATTTTTTGATGTGTTAGGAACTTGGGGTGTGTTTTGTTTACTTACTGGCTGCTATTTGGAACCATGAATCTGCATGCATTTTGGGTTAAATGTTGTTTGCTGAGGACTGGGTTTCTGGTAGTCAACCAGGCAGCCTGATCAGAGCACTCATTTTCTGGTATGCACAAAATAATCAGCAGTAGTATTGTGTCTGCAGAGTTTGTTTGCTTTAAGGAAACTTTTCACTCTTCATGTGTTTTCCTGTAAACATCCAGTGCACTGAGACTCATCATTCCTTAAGAAAGCTCTGTGCAGGCTTTGTCTCTGTTAAACCTTCCTATAATATAGAAGCACAAAGAAACTGTTAAGTTCATGCCATCTCAAGACCATTTCCCCCTTTTGTATTTTGTAATCCTGAAAGCAGCCTACGGGAAATACCTCCTACGCTGGGTGGCAGAGATGGTGGACGTGGTTGCCCTAGGGAGTAACACTGCGGTTAGCTGTGAGGCTGATCTGGCTTTTTGTGATCCCGCTCCGCATTCCTTCATTCATTCCTTTCTTCATTCATTCATTTCACTCGGCGAGCATTTGTTGAGGGCCGGCTTTGCTTGTGGAGGCAAGCTGGAAGCTTCGGGAGTTGATGTGGCTCAGCAGCCCCGGGGAGCACAGCCGGTGACCTGGGGGTGCTGATCATGTCCTTAGAGGGGCTGTGGGCCTCCGGAACGGGAAGCAGGTACGCTTCTTGGTGAATGGGCCAAGGCTCGGGAACCTCTGGAGCAAGCCTGTCATGTTTTGGAAACCAAAAGTGCCCTTCATCTTTGGAGTTGTTTTATTCTTCATCCACTTTTCAGACTGAGCTCTCTGTTCCTTGGGGGTCAAAGTCGCATCACAGTCACTGTTCATGAGAATCTAGTCATCCATGTTTGGAAGAGCTGGGGCGGGGATATTTCTTTGGTGGGGGGTGGGGGGGTTAGAGAGAAAAATTGTCATTCTTAAAATGTCATCAAGAAAAATAGGGAACGGTATATAAAGGAAACAGCGGTAGTGTTTAAGAGCGGTGAGCAGAGAGGAGTTGTGAGCGAAGCTCATTGACTTCATTTAAAAAAGAGTGACAGTGTCGTCACACTGCATGCTGACCCGCCACAGCCGCGGCTGTCGGTTCTGCCACTGGGATCGTGCTTACTGGATTCAAAAATGACCAGGTTCTGGGTCGGAATTTGGCAGCGTCCGCACATCAAAAGCACACTTCCAGTAAAATAGAATCCATGAGGCGCATTGAACTTTGTATCACTTGGAGAAGAGCGAGACTTGCTGGCAAGCCAGGGCCTGAATCATAAACATAAACACGAACGTGGCGGTTCCCCTGCAGGCTGCCTTTCAGGTCACAGAGGGTACATTATTCTCAAGCTGACTACATATTTTGAGGGGAATCCTATACTTTAAGTGGACGCCAGTGTGTCTGCCTTTGGGTCAGCTTCCAAAGTATTTGTTTTTGCAGCTGCATTTTAAGCATGACCGATTCTTTTCTAACCCCAAGCTATGAAAAGGATGTTGCATGGCCTCCAACTAACCAGAAAGCATGATCTCCTACCTATGCAAGCAGCTAGTGTACAAATTAAGAGACGACTAAATGTACATTTTTTAAAAAAGAGGCAACTCTTAAATTGTGAAGCTCTATTTTTGAATTTGTAATTTTTTAAATGTGGCTTACTCGTCCATATAGAAAAGCATGAATGTGGATTATTTTGCTTTGCACATGTTTCTCTGCTGATTTTTTTCTTCCATTGTTGGCAAGATTGTGTGTAAAATAAGTATTTTGCAAGTGGGGGTGGAATTGGATACGTTGAACACACTGATTTATATACTATATTTAGCCTGAAGACTTTCCTAAGATATTTTGTTCTAAAAGAAAAAAAAAAAACCTGCCATTTTCTATAAATTTTAATTTTTTATATCTTCAAGGGTCCTATTGTGGTCACAAGAAAGAATGTGGCTTCTAATAGTGCTAACAATTTTAAAACGCTTTTGTAGAGACTTAGAGCTGTTTAGGAAGCTTTGGGCCTTCCCCCTGAACTAAACTTGTGGGGTATATGGTAGTCTTGTGTAGATTAGGTTCCAGGTCCAGTCCATGTTCATTTACAACAGTTTCCTGACTGGAGATGGGAGACCCATCCCACCCCTGGGTGGCCGCTTAAGATCTCCACGCCCTTGCACCCAGGATGCTAACTAAAGCTCTTCCGAATGGCTTGCTTGAGGTTCTGATTAATTAGAATCATCCAGGGAACCTTTAAAAACACCCAGGACCCACTCTCAAGCTTTTGATGTAATTCCTGCTGGGTGCGGGACCCCTACAGTGACCTGCATTCAGCTCCTCCATGGTCCTAACGCAGCTGGGATTGAGGGCCGCTGTGCCATGCTCTCCCTCGGCCGCTGTAGGAAATCCTCGGGTGGGGCTGAGCCCTCCGTTTTGTCAGACGGGACAGAAGCTTGCGAACTCTGGTAACAACCTCCAGTTTGAAATGAGGGGTCTTTCTGACTCCAAGGCCTGATTTGGGAGGAGCATTTTGTGGGCAGCTGGCACTTGGCTGTTGGATGGGGCATCAGTGGTCTGATTGGCTGGAGCAATTGGGTGACCCTTGGGGCTGTGTCCTTCCCCTGGGTGTGTGTGGCATGTCCAGACCCATGGGGGAGCAGGGACGTCGCCCCTGCGTTAGAAAATGCCTTCAAGGACCTTAGAAAGCTGTCCCTGTTCTGATAGAGCAGTTGTCTCTGTATATTAACAAACCCCAGGTTGCTGCTGAGTTTCATTTTTATACACACAGTGGTTTTAAGAATGGTTTTCAGTTTTAAATGAATGTGAAACATTTTATTTGGAGTCTTTTTTTTTTAGTAATACTCAGTATTTTTTCATGTTAGTAAAAATATTAGATAATATCCAAAAATTGGCAGTCTTATGTTACTTATGGAGGCAAATGAAATTTAGTTTTAATCTGTGGTGAGCTGAATGCATTCGACAGCTTTAGAGTAGTCTGCTGTGCTGCTAGGGTGGTTTCTGCCTGTTCAGCATCACGCGGCTTACAAAAAACAACAAAACAGAACTTGGTATTTTCAACATTTCAAGGAATAAAGAAGTAAAAATCCAAGTTGGAAATGGCTCCTCTGGAAAGCCCAGCCAGGGTGGGTTCCCTGTTGTAGTCACAATGCAATATGCAATCCCAGGTGCTATTCTACACGGTGGTCTTCACACCACATGGGGGCAGTGAGTGGGGTGTTTCCAAAGCAGACGTTCCACGGAGGCTCAGCTATTTCTCTTCCCTAGAGGTTTGCTCACCAACTGTGCCTCTCGCCACTGGTTAAAATGAATTTAGGCCCCATTACAAAAGTCGGTTCTTGATTGAACTCCTCAGTTTTTACACTGGAACTTCTATAGCTGTCTTAAAAGCTGCATGTCATATTGCTGTACACAAAATGCTTTGGTATTTTCATGCACTACTCGGTGAGTTATGTAATTTTCCTCTTTAGTTGTGCAGTCATGGAATGCAGGACGTCTCTCCTTGAGGCTGGAAGAAAAGTGTATCATACATTTTAAATTATTTTAGATCAAGTGCATGAGATGTGCCACTGACGTCTGTTATTTATTTGTATGTTTTATTCAAGGTGTACGCACTTTCAAGAAGCAGAATTTCTATTTTTATGTTTAAAATGTTTTATTTCTGGAACAGCAGTTGATTATATAGTATACAGTTGGAATTAAGAGAAAAGTGGAAAATGTAACAAAATATAATAAATTTATTACATGATGCCCTCTCCAAGCCATATTCCTCTTTCTCCCCTTGCTACCCTAAATCTTTTTGTTCACAAACCTTGGGAATTAAGCAAAATTGTGTTTGTCTTTCTCTGATCTAAACAAAATGCTTTAAATCAAGGTATTATGTGAAACAACATTACAGAAAAGATACAGATAATACATGCATAAAATTTTAAACCCAACTGTACTTAGATGTTCACAACTAGAGATGGTTATTGCCACTTTTTCAGGCATTTTGTCCTAAAGCATGGAACTGGACAAGGATTCACATTCTGACTTGATTTCAATATTTCTCTCTTCTGCCGAACTTCATGATGGGAGGGATTAACAGTAGAAAAAGACCATCCTTGTCTGGGCCCGCTCTTGCCCCCCAGATTTACTGTCAAGCATCCTGTTTGCTAGTCGGTTTTCTGGAAGTCTTCACCCCTCAGCCTAGGCCAGCCTACCAAGGTGTCATACCACTTTTGGTCACTTGGGGGCACTAAAGATCACTGTCGACTGTATTTTCAAAGTCCAGAGCATTTATGCTTATCCTCTGTGGAACTGTCATTCAATACCATGTGAGAGCGCTGTCAGCGAGGAGGGGTCTGTTTAAATAAGACCACCAGTCTTCATTTTCCATAGAATAAGAACACACATCACAGCAGCTATTTGCTGAAATGAGGGAATTACCATGAGACCTGTTACATCAGTTACAAACTGCTTTCATCTAAATGGTAAACTGGCTTTAGGTTCTGTGAAGTGTTCAACCATGAGCCCCACTGACTAGTGAAGTTCCATTATGCCTGGAAGTGTGCGTGTCAAAAAATGTAGATTTAATTGCCCTGCAGATTTGAGGATCATTTTGTTTGTCTTCTTAAAATTTGGAAGATTGTTTTTAAATAACTGAATGATCAGTGTCGCCCGCACCTTTCCTGCCACTGTGGCACTTGGTGCCTTTCTTGCCAGCTCATTGGCGGCAACTGGTCGCTAAGTACTGCCACGTACTTAGTGCTCCCCAGGCATCGCCTCTCTCCTTCCTGCACTCTTCTGGTGTTCTGATGTGCCTGTCCTGCTCGTTTCTGTGCATTGTCTGTCCCAGCGGATCTGTGGTGCACTGTCACTCAAACGCCACTATCTCCCAGAGGCCTACCCTGACCACCCTTCCAAAGTGCCTCAGCTCGCTTCCCATTCGCTTTCCTCCCTCGTGTTCTCCATAGCACTTATCACCCACTGCCACAGTCTGTGAATGAGCTCACAGGAGAGTGGGCACGTCTGCTGTTCTGTTCACTGATCTTTTCCCAGCTCCTCAGAGGGTGCCAGGCACATGATATTGACTGAATGGAGAGTGGATTTTTTGGGTAATCACTAAGTCCTTCTGGATCCATCTTGCCATCTAGAAAATGGAGAGCAGCACCTGCATTGTAGCATTGTGAAGGTTAAGCAGGGTGCTTACACGTAAGCATTCAGCACAGTGCCTGCCACAGGGATGCATCTCAGGGCGCCATTTGTAATAATGATGGTGAACATGGGATCAGGGGCGTGAGAGCATAACTTCCAGACGGGGACTGCCACAGGCCGTAGGGCTCGAAAGGAGGAAGCAGTGGGTGAATGCGAGAAGGATTTGTAGAGGCCCCATAGAAGCACCCTTTATGACCTACTGCATTTGTTCTGAAGTAAATGAGAGTCCAGGAAGATTTTAATTTAGGAGAAAGATGAGATCTAGCGTGCATTAGCATGGTCGCCATGGCAACAACATGGTCCCAGCAAGCCTGGTTAGGAGTTTGTGGCAGGAATCTGGGTGCTGCCTGAGGAGGGCTGATCTAAGGCAGCAGTGGGTGGATGGATGAGGGAGGCATCTGGAGAGGTAACTGTTCAGGTCCTAGGGGTGGGCTGCTAGATTCAAATTCTGGTCCCATGACTTCTAAGCAGAGCAAACTTGGGTGTGTGTTTCTCTATACCTAAAATTCTATAAAACGTGGTTAATCTGCACACGATCACAGGGAGGCCTAATTGGAGTGATTGGTTTACTGACACTGAATATATTATACAGATGTATTTGTTTTGTTCTATGACCCTACAATTTTTTTAATTTGTTTCACCCATTTTGTAATTTTTTCTGTCTTGCTTTTCTCTTAGATCAAGCATTTTAAAAATTCCATTTCCCCACCTCTGCTCACTTGTTAATAATTCATTCTTTTAATGATAACCCTTGTGATTTCAATGAGCATTTTTCACTTAAAGAGTCAAACTAATTTTTACACTTTAAGGAACCCAGGACACTTTCATTCCATTTTTTTCTTTTCACCATTTGGTATTTGTTGCGTATACACAAGACACTTCTGTAATCCCAGATCACTCACAATGTCCTTAATATTGGAAGCCAATGTTCACTTAGGTTTACCAACATACTTGTATTGTTCCTTATTCCTCCCTGCATTTCACTGAAGAATTCCTTTTAGTATCTTTTGAAAAGTGCTACTCATGCACTCTTTTAGTATTTATTTGTTTGGGTATGTCTTTATTTTGCCTTTGCTTTTGAAGGCTCTTTTCACTGGGAATAGAATTCTAGGTTGGAAGTTCTTTTCTTTCATTTTTCTTCCACAATGTCTGCCCTTTATTGTTCCTGCTGATAAGTCAGTTGTTAGTTGTAAAGCTATTCCTTTGAAGAAGGTTTTTTTTTCCCTCCTGAATGATTTGAGATGTCTGTCTTTTTCATGAGCCATCTTATAGCTGGGCCTAGGTGTGGGTTTTAAAAATTGGTTTTAATCCTGCATTTTATGAATCAGACTTGGAAACTTTTTAGTCATTATTTATTGATCCTGATCCTTCCCCCCCGCTCCCTTATTCTTCTAGGATTCAGTAAATGGCATCCCCATCCACCCAGCTGCTTGTTCCAAAACTCAGGGATCCATAAACTTCCCATTAACTCTCATTCTTACCTCAGATCTACTCACAAACTTTCTGCAATTAAGTTTAAATCTTCCCATTTCTCTTTTGCCCCACTGATAACACTTGGGTGTAAGCCACCATGGTGTCTTGATGTCTGCATCCGATTGTCCACTTCTCCAAGTCCATCTGCCATCACTCTTCCTTCATCTCAGACACAGAGGCCTCAATATCTGGCCCACAGGCCCGCAACACTGCTGTTTCCTCTGCCAGGAATGCTCTTCACCCTCGGTGCTCAGGTGGCAAGTCCTTCCCCCATCTCGGGACGTCCTCCTTAGGGTGCTTTCAGCTCTAAGTGACACAATGTCCAGCCAAAGTAAGTTCCATTATTTCAGTTATTTACGTATGTATACGGAGACAGAGCAAATGACTTCTTTAACAACCACATAGATAATAAGTGGCAGATCTTGGATATGGACATAGGCCTAGTACCTCAAAGTTTCTGGGTTTTTTTTTTTTTTACATTAAGCCTTAATACTCTATATTATATTAAATAAGGAAATTTAATAATCAGTGCATGTCTGCAGTTACCAGAGGGCGATCCTCTAAGTTGTATAAAGTTCTTATTTCTGAGTAATTTTTACTATAGTAAACTCAGGAAATTTCTACTTGTTGAACAAGTTAGTACAGCACCCTTATCTCAATTTTTTGTAAATTGTCTAAATAAGTCTAAATAACTTTAGACTTAGAAGTTGCAAAACTACCTCAAAGAACTATATACTCTTTATCCAGTTTCCCCTAATGCCAGCATGTTATATGACTAGTCCAATTATCAAGGCTGAAATTAACTGGTGTAATAGTATTACCTAAATTACAGGCTTTCTGTAGATTTCACATCTAGTCCCAGAGCCCACCCTACATTTAATTGTTACAGCTTTCTAGTTCTTCCAGTCTGACAGACCAGTCTTTAATGCCCTTGACAATTTTGAAGAGCATTGGCCAACTATTATTGAGAATGTTGAGTTGTCTCACACACTGTCATGGTTAGGTTGAGGGTCACATCTTTGGCAAGATGCTCCTCAGTTCAGGGGCGGAGGGAAGTGACACTGACTAAATGACTTACGACTGGTGATGTTTAGTCCCTTGGTTAAGGTGGCATTTTCTTGGTTCCTCCATTGTAAACTTCCTGTTTTCCCATTGTCCTTAATAACTCTTGTGGAAGATAGTTAGTGCAAATACCCTGCTTCTTCCCAAACTTTGGCCCATTAATTTTAGCACCCATCCATGACTCTTGCCTGCAGGGATCTTTATTACTATGGTATTCTACTGGTGAAAAAAAGGCTTCGTAAAAGCCTAACTTAAGTTCAGAAACAGGGCATGCGCAGGGCAGCCCACAGCCTTAACAGTGTCATCAAAGGCCAAGACCTTATTGCCATTCTCAGCAAATTAGCCTTCCATTTATTAGCAAATATGTCTTCAGATTTAGCATCACTGGCTACCATCATTCTGTAAACTTGACTGCATCTAGTTGAAGGTGGGGCCTTTCTCTGCCTGTGTCTCTTGACCAGAGAGGACAATATTCCTCAGACTCACTCCCGGTATCTGAAAACTTCCTCTCATATCCCAGGGACTGGGATCTTGCTTACTTGCCTATGGATGAGCTATAGGAGAGAAGAAAAGGAGGAGCTGCTGGCATGTCCAGTCAGCACTGGGGATGGCTGCGTGGGTACTGGCAGGGAGTGAGCAAGAGGGAAGCAGTCCCTCTCCCCCAGTGTCTGGCACACAGTGACCCCTCCACCCGGGAGAAGCGCCTGGACCTGCAGCAGCTCAGCGATCTCCGTGGAGTGAGTTCTTGGTTTCTTGCGCGTGATGCCGCTGCCATTACCTGGAAGCATTAGCCTCTCCCTGCCCTGTCTTCTGGGAGTGGGCCAGAGCAGCCACAAGGCTCCCACCTCAGGGTGACAGACCAGCGAGGGTGGGGGAGCCCTCAGCTTCATCATGCCGTGGTCTCCAGCAGCGTGATGTCCCCTCTCCCAGAGCCTGGGAGAACCTTTTCGAAGGAGGCCGAGAAAGCCACCCCTCTGCTCCAGAGGCTCTCGGAGTCCGCGGAGCGCTGGAGGGAGGCTCCTGC